TCTTTTTTAAAACCGAACCTCTACATAAAAGTTATAGGTCTATGTTTTACCTTTCTATCCATATAAAGTAGACCTAAATTTGAGATCTACAGCTCCAGATATGACTCAAGTATCAAACAGTGTTCTGATTTAGACTGCACCAGCCTCTATTTTCCAAGTTTAGTCATCTTTTTGTCCTTTCAATTTCAGTTCTTAAACGCATCAATCAATTCTTTCATATATGTGATAAGCCTGCATTTAAGATGGACATGTACCATAAATTAAAGATATTTTATATTATTATATATGTTATTATAAATCATGGTCTAGTTAAAGAGTTTTTGATGCTTCAAGTGCAAAATGATGACATGAAACCTTGATGAAAATGCACTTTTAAGTACTAATATAATCATGTTAACAATTTATAATCTGATTGGAACCTCCTTTGTGTGTAGTTTCTAATTGAATAATAAGTGTTTATACTATACTTATTTGACATACCATTAGTGGATCCTTTAACTTTGACATTTGTTGTTATCATTGTTTAATCCTTACGTTAATCTTTCATCTCATAGTTCTCATCAACTTCTTCTTTTTCTTCTTCTTTTTTGCTATTACTATTATTATTACTGTTACTGCTACAACTGCTGTTATTATTATTATTGTTATTGTTATTGTTATTATTATTATTGTTGTTGTATTATTGTTATCTATAATTTACACAATTAACCTTCTTGTAGTTCGACCCTAGTGTTGTCGGGTTATTTATTACTTCGACACTCCTGCACTTGGGAGAAAACATCAATCTTTTGATCGTGTCAACAGGAATTTCTAACATCTTTGACATGACAAATCATAATTTTTGCTGCTGCTACTGAATAATTGATTGACCAACTATAATCTTTCACTCCTGTAATTGATCCCTCCATGAGTCGTATAAATTGGTCAATTAAGAAAAGTTGTAAAAAGTTTAAATTGGATTTGAGCCTTTGTTTCTGAATCCTTGTGTCTTTTAGTTTTCTTAATAGTATATTATTTTGTGTTTTGTTGTTTCTTATATTTATTTAAGTATGTTTCAAGTTTGTCAGTGTTCAGTATTTCAAATGATGTCTTTTATACTCTATCTTTCTATTTTAGGATATTGCGGACAATGTCTTGTTTTGGTTGGGAAGAGAGATAGTAGTTAATATTAAAAAAAAAAAGCTAACTGTGTTTTTTATTTCTCAACCATTTGCAAACTATTATTACTAAGATGACAGAGTAAGGAGGAATTTTATTGACTCTTGAGATGTATCTGATATATATTAAAGGATTGATTGATAAGTTGAAGTATTGAAATTAAAAGGACAAAGAAATGGCCAAACTTAGAAAAGAGATGCTGGTGCAGTCCAAACTGGAATACTGTTCGGTAATTGGATCATATCTAGAGCTGTAGATCTTGGATTTAGGTCTACTTTATATAGATGGAAAGGTAAGACATATGCCTACAACTTTCATGTGAGGTTTGGTTTTTATAAGGCTGTTTTCATATCCAAATTATAACAATAACAAAAAAGTCTGAATCTGTCCTGCAGCCCAGACACTTTTATGTTTTCAGCCCATATCTTGAGCTCTAGAAGTCTAAATGACCTCATTTTTTTCCTTGAAAAGTTGAGACAATTTTTCTAGAACTTTTATGTTTTCAAGTGGTTCCAATTCTGACGTTATCAATGACGTTTTGAGTAGAGAAGAGAAGATAAGGATTGTCACACAGTCAAGAGTTGGCCACCCACTTATCAATTAGTCATCAAATCAATAGTTCTCAATTTTAGCCTATAAAAGAGGGCATTTGCCATGCATTTAGGTATCTATCATGCTCTTGTTTTCTCTCTTTGTATTTTTTGCAATGTTTATGTTTTACTTTCATTAATATCTTGTTTATGCCTTTCATTTACTTTCCTTTACTTAGTTAACTTTTATCTTATTTATATTCTTATCTTGTTTATTTATATTTCTCTCTTTTATTATGTTTAGCTAAGTTTATTATGTCAAGGTGAAAAGGTTAAACTAATGGTGTAAGAATAAGTATAGTGTAAACTCAACATGGACCTTAATGTTTGATATTAACATGTTTTGTACTTGTTATCTTATTCAATTTTTAATACTTTGCTTGTTAAATGACTAATCTAGATTTATGTTGTATAACACTTGGTATAACAAATGCTTGGCACTTTCATAGCACAGCAAATACTCGACACTTTCATAGAACAAATTGTATGGTATAACCGACACTTGTACTGTGAAAGGAACTTGATTTGTTATAAACATAAGTTACAATCATGAATACCTGACAACATTTACAAGTATTAGCATTATTCAAATAAGATAATTAATGTAATCATGTTAATAATTTATAATCTAATTGGAACCTTCTTTGTGTGTAGTTTTCATTTGAGTAATAAGAGTTTATATTATATTTGTTTAAAATACCATTAGTAGATCCTCTAACCTTGACATTTATTGTTATCATTGTTTAATCTTTACATTGATCTTCCATCTCAATAAGCCAAAGTCAAACAATTCCTATAGTAATTGTAGTTTATGGTTCTAAAATTTCAGTCCTCAATGCATCCTCTTTTATAGTCATGATCATAATTGTTAAACTAGTTATAGGCCTAGGTCATTAGATTACTAAGTTAATCTCTCGGTCATCAAATCAACACGAGTCAATTTTAAAATAATATTGTTTTAGTGGGCTTTTTAAAAAAATTGAAATAATATCATTTTAAATAAAAAAATTACAAAAAGGATGAAATAATAGTTTTTAGATAAAATTATATATATATATATATATATATATATATATGAATGTATGTATCTTAGAATTACCCTAGTCATGTCTTATTTAGATTTAGATGATTTATCTCGATTTGAATTGATGAATGTTCAAATCGATTTGGAAAAAAGTTCAGTAGAAAACACTAATGATAATGCATTTTAATAAATATATTGTATAAAATAATGTGTAACTATAATTAAAATATCTTTTTACTTTCTAGAACAATAAAGCCATATCATATGTCTATGTAAAGAATATGGTTTGTTTTTCAAAACTCATAAATAGAAAATATTTCTTCTCCCACACCCTTCCTCTTCCTTTTTTTATTTTATTTTTTTTCTATATAACTTGATCATCGAATGAGTGAGAAGTGAAACACCTGTAAATGCTCATGGATAAGATACTCTATGATAATTGTCAGTGCTGATAATTTGGATTAGAAAAAGTCCACCATTGTGCTTACCATAGGGTTATCCATTAATAAAAGCAGCCGATCATTGCTATTATCTTGAAAGTGTTCTATTAGTACTAGAAACTTACGATTGGCCTAACCCTTTTGCCTTGTTAATTATCAACAATTAAAAAGGAACCATAAATTGAAGTTGCTTGCTCAAAAAACGTGTGCAATTATGTCTTCGAAGTTTGTGCGTACAAGCGAAATTTAATTTAAAAAACATGGCTGTCCCTGATATGTCATTGAATCAACACGTCAGGGACAGCCATGTTTAACAATAAACAACGACGGTGATAATTATCTTTGCCTTTCGTGTTCCCTTGGATTATTGTAAATGCCACCATTTACAATCTTGGCAATGCCAAGTTGAGAGAATGTGTAGGCAATTAAGTATTTTCAATCCTTAGTTCGGATTATTATTCTTTTTTGTCAAATAAAAAAAATAATCAATCCCAACCCTTTTTATCAATCCTACCCTGAATCCATTTTGACAGTGTATGTAAGTGTCACCACTTCCCATCTTGGCAATGCCAATTGAGAGATTGCACCTATGTTACAGCAACTTCAACCCACTAGCTAGATAAATATATTTTAATTTTAATTTTTTAATTTTTTATATTTCAACAGAACAGCTAAATAAATACCTATTTTAGCTATTTATTTACTTGGTAGTCATTTCTACATTTTCACTGTACTTGGGAGTGGCGAAGGAATGATTATTCACCTTTCAAGTCTGTAAATTTTACAAGAGACTAGAAAAATAATGAAGAATAAACAGAAGAGAGATCTTCGGTGCACTTGATCTCGAAAACTAGGGTGATTATTTTTTGTTTGGTTTGATTTTTATATTAAAAAATAAATTAAATTGATATTATTAATTTTAAAATTTTAAAACTGAAACCGAACCGAAACTAGTTCAAACCGACTGGTTTTGGTTCGGTTCGGTTCAGTTTTTGTTATTCAAAAACCGGTAAAACCGAAAAAAAAATTTCGATGCCTAGTGCTCACAAACTCCAACTACAAGCAAATATCGATGCCCAGTGTACATAAATTACAAGCAAATCTTAGTTTCTATTGTTCAAGAACATAGACAAATATGTCCACAAACTATAAAAAAATTATAACATAATAATAAAAAAATAAAAACCCACAAGATGCAGACTACAGAGATGAACTTAAAATGGAGTTAAAATTTTAATTATCAAAAAATCATTTTTTTTTTATTTGTCCATATAGTTTAATTAAAATAAATATTAATGCAGAGGTGAACTTAAAAAAATGAGATGAGAGATAAAGGAAAAAGAAGGAGAGGCTACTAGAGATGAATGACATGGAAAAAAAAAAGAAAAGGGAGAGGGGCTAAAAAAAATGATGAGAGGCAAGGAGAAAAAAAAAAGAAAAGGGAGGGGGTTGTGAGAAGATAATGAGAAGTACGGAAAAGGGAAGGGGGATAAGAAAAGATGACGAGAGGCAGAGTGAAAAAAAAAAAAAAGGGAGGGGGGGCGTCAACTCCACTTTAAGTCTAGGGTTTTTGTTTTTTTATACTTTGTTTTTTTTTTAAATGTTGGAATAGTTGAACCGGTTCGGTTCAATTGGTTTTAGACTTTGAAAACCAAAACTGAACCGAACCGAAATTTTTTTATGATTTTTTTAATCGGTTAATTCAATTTTTTTTCAATTCGATTTTTTCAGTTATTTTTTTCTAGTTTTTTTGATTTTTTTGATTTATCAGTTTTTTTTCTTACCCCGCCCGAAACCAGATGTCAAAGAAAATGAATTTGATCAGGTTCACCAAAAAAGGTGGTATAACTCGCGTACTTTTCTGAAACAGAAAGCCAACAGAATATTTGATGCAAGAGAGAAAATAAAGGGCACCCTTATAAAACCAGATGCATATTTCCAGGAGAGCCATCAGAAAAGCTAAGTTCCTGAAGTGTTGCTGAGGCAAAACATCAGTGGGAACTGGGTCAAAGCAGTGCAGAGCAAGAGGTACTGATGCTTGCTTGAGTCATAACTCCTAACCTCGGATAACAGAGTTCGCTTCATAGTCTTGATCAAAAATATACCCATGCAAAGACATGTCCACAAAATTATCAAATAGTATGTATAGCCCAAAGTGATCCTCCCCAGCACAGCAACACACATCCCTGTGAATGTATACCCAGCATATGCTACCATGTCCAACAGAGGTGCCTCCCCACCTCCCAGTGAAAGAATTGAAACTTTCAGCAGCATCACTTCGGAAAACCAGCCTATCATTCCTTTAACAAACTGCCAATTTAAGGCCTCTGGTGAAAACCTGGCATAAAATTGGAATTGCGAATATGATCATATTCGGACAGGAATAAATTGTTGTTAGAGAGCTGTTTAGGAAGCTTGGTTACATCAAAGTTCCTACACTTACTTCCCAGAAAGGCCCAATGAGATGCCAGAAAGAACCAAGTAGGTAGCAAATGCCATGCAAGGAATGTATAAATCTGGAGCATTTATGTCATTAATTGGAGGTTTATAGGATAGCCTGCCTCCAACTGGCTCAGTTATTCTTGTCCAGTGGCCCTAGAAAGAAGATAAGAGAGAACTACATTACAGTTTCTCAAGTGAACCAACTACTTACAATCTTACATGTTTGTTTTTCTTAACCTTAATGCATTTATGTTATTTCACTTACCCTGTTTAGAAAAGGAAGAAGAACAATCTTCAATTTGTTCCTGACATAATGGCCATTCACTTGGAAGTAATATTGAGGGTAAGAGAAGCACTTGCTTATCTGCTCATCGACAATAAAATCATAAGAAACACATTCAATTGTTGATGCCCAGCAATGTTTTCTTACCAAGTACTGATATCACATTCATTAACCTTACGAAAATAAATATTCTTACAGAAGTTAATCAGTTATAGATGTCTAATGTGCTGTAATTCAATCTGATAAAAAAAACAAGAATACTCGGGTCATTACATGAAAGAGTCATCTGAACTATTGAGCTTTGCAATTCTCTGTTTGCTACGCCAACCTATCTAGCTAGCAATATATCCACAGGGATAAAAGTACTCACATTGCTTTGTACATACTCAGAGCCTGACCCAAAAATTTTCTCTCCGTAAGCACCCAATCCCCCTCTAATGAGCCCTGAACCAGCTGCTGAAAATGGAATGGATTTGGGATTCATTTTCACCTCCACCCTAAAATCCTACTTCTCATATGTCACTGCGAGAAACAAGAAATGTTACTTCTCATATGTCACTGCGAGAAACAATAAATGTTCTTTAAGTATTGTAGATTTCGTTAGGACTTAAACGAGATAAATAAATAAATAAAAACAACTCAATCAAGCAACTATAACTTGTTTATCTGTCTCATGCCATCGTTCTAAATTGGCTTATTGAGACAGGACACAGTAAAACAGCCTGCATTCTCAACTCTAGTTTTCGATCTCCATCATGCTACAGCCCAGTAGTACAAGAATGAAAATCTGATTGAACCTGTAAAAGGGGGTAATATCTTGATTCTGATCTAACATTAGCAAGAATTAATTCTAACATATGTCAACGCTTTTCGAGATTCCTTGGTTCAGCCCATGATCATGAATACTCATTGTATTTTCCTTACATTCCCGTAAAAATGGAGAACGTTTGGATCTTAGTTTTGGGTGTGGTAAATTAATAGAACGAATGTGAAATAGAAAGTGTGAAAGGTGGAAAGGAATAAGAGAGAGGACCTGAAGCTTTGTTGCTAAATTTCTTTTTTCACTTTCTGTATTGCTCAATCTGTGAAATGCAATGGCTAAGGTCGCGCGGAGAGCTCCTTTATTCTTGCCTCTAATGGAAACGTTGCGTTTTTATTTATTTCTTTTTTCCTTTTTTGTTCTTGTTTGTAAAAAATCACAATAGGATTTTATTAGCTTAATATGCTATATATATTATTATACGTGATATTATTATATAAATATATATATATAATAAAAATTTAATTTATTTTAAATATTTATATAATATTAGATTAATAAATCTAGAGTAAAAATAAAATTCATGGATCAAAAATATTTTGTAAAGAAAATTATAAAGTTGTTATAATTATGAGATTTTTATTGCATTAAAATATTATTTCTAAAATATTTTTGGTTGATACCCTCTTCAATATTGAATATTCATTACAATTGCAAAGACTGATATATATTATGTTTTTTTTCTTAATGAAAAAAAATAGTTATTCTCGTAAGTTAAGATCTAAAACTAATATACAAGTGTTCGTCATAAGATATGTACACTAAACTGACCCATATGAGAATTTTATATAGAGAGATCATCTATATTTATGAAAAAGCTTATATAACGATTGTGTAAATGATCCTTAGACTTAAAATCACTAAGTTATCTTTATAGAAAATGTTATGTTTTAATAATGTTATATGTTATTTTAATCGAGGTAATAAATAGGTAGACGATGGACATAATATGAATTATATGAAAGTACTTAAGTAGTCAATAGATGATTTATCACCCTAGATAAATTAAAAAAAAAATTCTATATATTTTCAAATAGTATTAACTAAGAAATCTTTGGCTAAGATAAAATGAGATTTAAAAAGAATTACAAATTTACTCAAACGATTAATAACTATCATGTAATAAATAAACATGATTTAACATGGTAGACATACTCTATGCTTTAATATTAAATTAGAATATTATTAATAAAAAATATTAATTACACTAAAAAACTAGTCACCGAAAAGTTAAGTCAATTTACTAGTGACTTTTTTAATATTTGATGGATCATGACATATTGTTAAATGATGCACCTTATCTTCAAAAATAAATTAATTTATTTAATTCTATTTAATTATAGTTATAATTTATATTTGTGTCAATATTTTAAGAACCTAATAGGTCACTCACAATAAAAATTATTAGTAAAAAATTAAATTGAGATGATTTAATTAAGTATGACTTGATTAAAATATATTTTAGAAATTAAAGATTACAATATAATTAATAAAGGGTTTATATTTCTAAACCTAGAAAACTCAAGTAAATATTTAATTGAGTTAATTTCTAAAATTATCCTAAATTAATATATGAATTTATTTAGGAGACAAATTAATATTTTATCAATTTATAGAATTTTTTAGATTTTCCACTAAATAATAAGACATGCCTCTTATTTTTTAGTAGTTGTCTGTTAAATAAAAAAATTACATAAATACAAAATTAAAGTTAGCATTCTAAATATAACAATCTATCTGTTTTAAATAGAGATTAAAAATATTTTTTACTTATGTGAATTATTGTTGGAAATTGAATAATTAAAAGACTTATGGTTTATAACGGCACAACTTTTAAAAAAAATATTCAAAGTTAAAATAGATTAGGATTTTCTGATAATAAATTTTTAAACAACTTTAGATTTATTTAATATTCATACAAACTTTCAAATAATTTTGTTTTATTGTTTATGTTGTGGGTATGATATTAGAAACACAACAGATTTTTATAAAGAAAAATTATAAATATTAAAAAAAAAAAATGTGTCAAAAATATATATGAATTTGTGCAATCAATTTATTTATTTGTGGTGAATTATCGAATGACTTGGTGTGTGTTGGGCATTATAACATCTGTTTTAAGCTGAGTCGGCAAAAATATTTCCTAGAAAAATTCTCAATCGTACATTTGTTCTTGCAAAATAAGTGGTTTCAACCTCACATTTGAGTTTTTCTATTTTTAAATTAAGCTGACTCGGCCTGATTGTAGGGACTTTGAAGTTTCTTTGCAAAATATATTAGTTTTGGCTAATATTTTGGAGTAATATTAACTTTATACGCAAACTCTTCTTTATTTTCATTTTACCTTTAAATTGTTTTGATTTTTTAATTAATTTTTGTTAGAATCAATTAACCAAAAAGGATAAGTTCTCTGGAAAAAAAAAAAGACAGCATTTCATATAAAAAATATAAAATTTGAACGTAAATATAAATGAAAAATCTTATAATAGACAAAAGTCCTTAATCAAGAATAGTAAATCAGGGGTTTTGGCATTTATCTTGCCTAAAATAATAAATCGAGGCTCTAAAATTTTCAAAATTGGGTTGATTTTGAGACTATTTTTTTCCAAGTTTATGATAATAATTGGATTTAAAAAAAAAAACATTTAAAGTGTTTTTTTAGGTGAAAATTTAGTTCAAAATAAGTTTTTAGGATTAAAAAACTGGATCCTGATTTTTCAACCACTATTGTGATTAAAAATTAGGTTTCTAAAAAATACATCTTATGCTATACTAGATAATTTTTTTATTTTTTTAAATAAAAATAAATATAAAGAAAAGGAAGAAATCAACATTCTGGGTTTTTAGGCCCAAACATATCTAGGCTTTTGGGTTTCTTGCTAAGCCTAAAATCCCTAACCTTTTTATTAGTTTTTTCTTTAAAATTTTAATTTAAACTCTCCTTCTCTTTTTTTATGTATTTTTTAGGTTGCATTAATTAATTTATTTAAATTTTGATTAAGAACTTCTCTTATGTTTTTTAGTTATTAAACCTAGTAAGGGTTTATAATTTAGGCTATAGATTTAACGAGTTAACCTGAATTAATTTAAAATATTTTTATCTAGGTATATTTCTTATAAAAAATGTTAGAATTTATATTAGAAAATTATTTTGTTTAAATAAAATTTAAATTATTTCTCTTATTATATATAAAAAATATCACTATATAAATAAATAAATAAAACTTTTATGGCTCATGGAACAACATCAGGTGTCTTAATCAAAGTCGATTTTTCATATTCTTGAATTGGTACAAAATAGCATTTTAATAGTGTTTATTAATTCAAACATGAAGGTTAAGAACCTAAAAACATATAATTAAGATTGAATCCTAACCTAAAAAACCTATAATCAAGTTGAAAAAAATCGAACTCATTGATGACTTGAACCAAAAAACAACAATTATTAGATGAAAACTCTAATTTGTTGATTATAACAAACCGAGAACCAAAGGTATGAGAGTTGAATGCACAAAGAAAAAATCTTTGATAAGTTATGAGTAGTTTAATGAAGAATCACAAGTAAGAGAAATCATCTCCAATATTATTTTTAGATATAATAAACTAGTTTAAATGACTTTTAAAATAAAATAACAAAGTCCAAGTCTTAATAAATAAAGCGCAACCCATATAACAACTTCTAGGACTTATTGGGAGACCTTTTCAATGTCTAATTGCTTTGAAATGTTTAACCCTATATAAAATAAAGCGGTTAGATTAAACATTATGACCCTTAACATAAAGTGAGATAGTCAAACTACAATACATGTTAAGTAGACTAATTTCTTGCTTATATCACATTAATCAAAGCTTAATCCTCCTTTGAACTCAACTTTATGTTTCATGCCTTTTTAATCCTCTAAGCAATTGTCCTTGTAATTGATCCAATTAGCATATGCAATGAATCATGTGGTTTTACTTACTGGTTCTCATCACTCCCTCTCTCTTTAAAGAATTTGATATTAAATCATCACTGCATCAAAAGGATAAGATTAGAAATATTAAATATAGCACTAATATTATACTCATTTGCAAGTTCCAATTTCATTTCATTAATCCATTAAAAGACTTGGAGTAGATCATCCCCTCCAAGATGCAACTTAGATCATTTATGAGCTAAGAATCTTTTATTACTTATATATACCCAAAATGTATGTAGTTTTTGTAAGCTTTATACACATATTGTTTTTTTTTTTTTGTCGAACACTCTTTTAAAGTTTCTTCAACATTTCTATACCTTTTCCACTGACTTAGCCATGAAAAACAACTTAATTCATGCAAAAAGGTACACTTTTTAAGTTGGCATATAATTTCTCATTCTCAAATTACCAAGCACACAATGTAAATGATTGATATGCTCCTTTAAGCTTCATTGTATACTAAGGTATTATATAAAAAATCTGTTTATAAATACATGCAAAACATGATTCACTAATCTTATAAATGAGTTATATATTAGTGAGACCAAGTGGCATACTCAACCATTATATAACTCATATTTAGTCTTAAAAATAGTTTTTATTCATCTCCTTCTTTCACTCTAATTTGATAATATTTATTTTTCAAATTAATTTTCACAAAGATAAATAAACCATGTAATTTATCTAACATGTTATCTAGCCTAGAAATTGGATCTCGATACTTTAACGTAATATTGCTGATAACTCAGTAATCCACACACATCCTTTAAGACACATCCCTTTTTAGCATAATAAGCACTGGTACCACACATGGACTTATGCTTTCTCTCAAGTAATCCTTAAACATCAGCTCCTCAACTTGTCATTGAAGCTCCTTTGTCTTTTATGGATTACTTTTATAGGTTAGTCGGTTAAAAATTACAACTCCAAGTACAAGATCAATTTGATGTTTTATTTCTCTTATTGGTAGTAAAACATTAAGAAATCATCGAGGAATACATCTTCATATAATTGTAACAAAGAAACAACAATGCTAGGAAGAGAATAACCAAAATTGTTAGTGTTAAAACATGTCTTTTATATAAAAGGTATAAATATAAGCTCATTAATATAAAAGGTACCCTTCATATCACTCTTTTGCATAAAAACTCTTATGCCTATTTATTTTTCCCTCAAAACTCTCATTTCCTTTCTTTTCAAATAGCCCCTCTCTTTTGTCTCTTCTTTTAGTACTCTATTTTTTTTTTTTCCATTCCTCTCATCCAATTTTTCTTTTTCTCTTCTCTCACTATTCTTGGCCAATTGTTTT